AATGAAATATAAAAAAAAGTCAACGGACTTCATGTTTGTAGAGTAGAGAAAAAAGGACTCTCGTTGACTCTCTTCTCTGGATCTCTGATCCATACACACAATTCACCATAATTCCTCACCGGAGAAAAAAAAATCTCAGCTTTCTCTGCAGCTACGGTTTGTTTCTCCGGTTCATTGGATTGTTTCAAGGAAGAAGAAACAATAACAATGGTGTGTTTCAATTTCAACGAGATCAAAACGAAGAAGACACTGATTGGACTTGGATTGGGACAGATTATTTCTCTTCTCTCAACTTTAATTTCGTTTACAGCTTCTGAGATTGCAAGAAAAGGTTTTTACTATTTTTTTCTTAAACCCATTTTCATGGCTTACAAATTTTGCGTTTTTTTTTTTCGTTAGGTATCAATGCTCCAACATCACAGCCATTTTTGGGTTATCTGTTACTAGCAATCGTCTATGGAAGTATTATGCTTTATCGAAGACCCACAATCAAAGTCAGTGTTGAAAAATTTCTCTTCTTTGAATTTGTCTTTTTGATTTTAACTCTGTGTTGCAACTTGCAACTTCTTCTTGGATATATCAATGATCATTGGAGTGTGAGTATTGTAAATGTGATTAGGGGTTGTATTAAGGGTTTCATTATTGAGTTTGAAAAAGCTCATTGTTGCTAACATCTTGAATGCAAAACTGTTGAATAGGTGAAGTGGTATAACTATTTCCTACTTGCTTTAGTTGATGTGGAAGCAAACTTTCTCGGTGAGTGTGTTTTAACCGCAAGAACTCTCTCTTCTTTTGATCCAGAAAGTCCAAGTCTTTGGCTTTGCCTTTAATCAGTTATTTTCCTGCCTTGGTTTTTTACAGTGGTAAAGGCGTATCAGTATACATCGATGACGAGTGTCATGCTACTGGATTGCTGGGCGATCCCTTGTGTTTTGGTCTTGACTTGGCTTTTTTTGAAAACAAAATACAGATTGATGAAGATCAGTGGTGTGGTTATTTGTATTCTTGGTGTTGTCATGGTAGTTTTCTCTGATGTTCATGCAGGGGACCGAGCTGGTAATGGCGTAAAATGATTCATTACTTCTCTTTCTCTTGTGTTTTTTTTTTTTTACCACAGCTTCACTCATTACAAGCCTGCAAGTAAACAAACGCTCTCATTCTCATATAAGCCTGAGAAACTTGATTTAAGCATGTTTAATTGTGGTTCCTTTCAGGTGGAAGTAATCCTGTTAAAGGAGATTTTCTTGTTATAGCTGGAGCAACCTTATATGCTGTCAGTAATGTCAGTGAGGTAAGAAACAAGTCTTGATTCACATACTCTTGTTAAAGTACCATCGCACTGCACTTGTAGTTCTAGTAGTCTCATTGTTCTTCTGTTATAGGAGTTCCTTGCGATGAATGCAGACAGAATTGAGCTCATGTCCTTTTTAGGCTTTTTCGGCTCAGTTATTGGTGCCGTTCAGATGTATCCTTGAAACAAAAAGGCTAAGGATTTTATGTTTTCTTAGACTTACATGCACTTTCTCCATCAAGTATCATTCCTTGACTTTGTCCATAGAAGCATATTTGAACGTGGTGCGCTCAAAGCTATTCACTGGTCAACTGAAACCGTAAGTTTGCTGCTATACTTACGATATCCATTTCTCTTTCAGTCTCTTGAAACCAAAGACTTCTGTGCTTTTTCATTTAGCAATAGAGTTTCTACACTTTTGTGGTTTCAGGTTTTGCTTTGCCTTGGAATCGCAATAGTGCTGTTTCTCTACTACTCATTACTCATAGTCTTACTAAAGGTGTGAAACAAAACTGAAACCATATGACCAAACCTCCCTGCATTCACTATTTTCTTGTCAAATGTCTATTTTTTGTCATCTCCTCAGACAAATGGTTCAGCAATGTTCACTCTCTCCTTACTTACATCAGACATGTGGGTAGTTTTGATCCGCAATTTCGCCTACCACGAAAAGGTTAGCTAACATAAGAAAACTCTTTACATTTTTCTCTGTAGAAACCAGCTTATGAGACTAAGTGGCCATGTGTATGCATGTTATTGTCAGGTGGATTGGCTCTACTACTTGGCATTTGCTACTACAGCTATTGGACTAATCATATACTCAATGTACACTCTTTTCTTTCTAATCTTTCTTCAACTCCAGTGCAATCTTGGCTTCATCAAGAACAGTAATCACTCTTTTTTTTTTGTTTCTTTGTTAATCTCAGGAAGGAGAAAGATGAGAAGGAAGAGGAACAAAGTGATGAGCAGAAGAAGCTGCTTGATGAGGAGGATAATGAAACCCTAACTAAAGTCTGAGTCTT